TGGCCATCTACACGCCAAAAAGAGAAGAGTTCTCTGAAGACACCAACTCTGTTAATACCTTGATTTCAGCCTTCTAGCTGCCAGAATTGCAAAAAAAAAAAAAAAAAAAAAAAAAAAAAGTACATTTCTGTTTTTTTGTTTTTTCATTTCTGTTGTTTAAGGCACTCAGTCTTTGGTATCTGGGTATGGCAGCCCTAGCAAACTAATGTAACTTTCAATTATTCAAAACAAAATATGGACTGCCTAGAGTGTATAGGATGCTACTACTAGCATTTCTGAAGCCATCAACTTCAGAAATGTAGGACTGTTTACAAAATTTATTTTTCCTCTAAGCATATTCGGCTCAATTAAATTATAAGAGATAATTTCAAGTTTATACAATTTATAAGTTTTCTTTCAAAGAATATTGACATTCTTACAAAATTATTTTGGCACAATCTTTGTAGGGAAGATAACTAGAATCTTTATATGAAGGTTCAATATATTCTAATATAACAAAATAGGAAACAATCTAGATAGCAATGACAGAAGCATGGTTAAATAAATTACAGTATGTGATAAAATACGAAATTACTAAGTTAGCTTGCAAAGAATACCACTGAAAGATACAGGGAAATGTACATAAGATAACATTAAGAAAGCCAAGCAGTATATAAAACTGAATAAAGTCCCAAAAGTTACACTAATATACACACAAACAAAATTCATCAAACTGTTAGCACTTACTATCTCTGGGTTCAGTTATGAGAAATAAGTATGTGTACTAAAAAAGAGGTGCTGGGACGCTTGGGTGGCTCAGGTCGTGATCCCAGGGTCCTAGGATTGAGTCCTGCATCAGGCTGCAAATGATATGATACTACACACAAAACTAAGGACTCCACCAAAAAACTACCAGAATATATTAATGCAATAAAGTTGAAGGATACAAAATTAATATACAGAAATCTGTTGCATTTCTATACACTAATAAAGAAGTAGCAGAAAGAGATATCTGGAGAACAATTCCATTTACAGTTGCACCAAAAAGAATAAAATAACCAGGAATAAACTTAACCAAGGAAGTAAAAAAGACTGATCATGTGAAAACCATAAAACATTGGTGAAAGAATTGAAGATGACACAAATGGAAAGACAAACCATGCTCAGGGATTGAAAAAATTAATACTGTTAAAATGTCCCTACTACCCAATCTACAGATTTAACGTAATCCCTATCAAAATATCAATAGTATTTTCACAGAACTAAAACAGCCTTAAAATTTGTATAGAACCACAAAATCTGTATGGAATCCTAAATAGGTAAAGCAATTTTGAAAAAGAACAAAGCTCAGAGGTATCACAATCACAGACTTCAAGATATACTACAACGCTATAATAATCATAGCAGTATGGCTCTGGCACAAAAATAGACATATAGACCAATGGAACAGAATAGGAAGCCCACAAATAAACCCATGCTTATATGGTCAATTAATCTACGACCAAGGAGACAAGAATATACGAAAGAAAAGACAGTCTCTTTAATAATGGTGCTGGATGGAACACCTGGGTGGCTCAGCTGTTAAAGCATCTACCTTCAGCTCAGGGTGTGATACTAGAGTCCTGAGATCGAGTCCCACATTGGGCTCCCTGCATGGAGCCTGCTTCTCCCTCTGCCTGTCTCTGCCTCTCTCTCTCTGTCTCTCATGAATAAATATATAAAATCTTAAAAAAAATAGTGCTGGAAAAGCTGGACAACTATATGCATAAGAATGAAACTGAACCACTTTATTATACCACACACAAAAAATAAACTCAAAATGAATTAAAGACCCACATGTGAGACCTGAGACCATAAAACTCCCAGAAGAAAACATAGGTTACAGTAATTGCTTTGACACTGGCCTTAGCAATATTTTTTTTAGAAAGGTCTTTTCAGGCAAGAGAAATAAAAGCAAAAGTAAACTATTGGGAGTACATCAAAATAAAAAGCTTTTGCACAGCTAAGAAATAATCAACAAAACAATCTACTAACTGGGAGAAGATATTTGCAAATGATATATTCAGTGAGGGATTGATATCCAGAATATATTAAAAACTTACACAACTTAACACCTAAAAAAATAATAATAATAATCTGATTTAAAATGGCCAGACGACCTAAACAGACATTTTTCCAAAGAAAATGTACAGATAGCCAACACACACATATAAAGATGCTTAGTATCACTAATCGTTAGGGAAATACAAAGCAAAACCACAATGAGATATCTCCTTAGACCTGTCAGAATGGCTTTAACAACAATAACAAGAAATAACAAGTGTTCCAAGGATTTGGTAAAAAAAAGGAACCCTTGTGTAATGCTGTGGGAATATAAATTGATGCAGCTGCTGTGGAAAACAATATGAAGTTTCATCACGAAATTTAAAAACAGAGTTACCATATGATCCAGTAATACTATGACTGGGCATTTACCCAAAGAAAATGAAAACACTAACTCAAAAAGATACATGCACCCCTATGCTTATTGTAGTATTAGTTGCAACAGCCAAGATATAGAAACAACCTGTGTCCATCAGTAGATGAATAGACAAAGAAAATGTGGTATATATACAACAGAATATTACTCAGCCATAAAAAAAGAATGAGATCTTGCTATCTGTGACAACATGGATAGATCTAGAGGGTAGTATGCTAAGTGAAACAAGTCAAAGAAAAACACCATATAATTTCATTTACATGTGGAATCTAAAAAACAAAACAAAACAAAAAAAAGAAGAAACCGACCCATAGATACGGAGAACAAATTGATGGCTGTTGGTGGTGGGGGAGCTGGGCAAAAATGAGTGAAGGAGAGTGGGAGGCACATGCTCCCAGTTATGGAATGAATAAGTCACTGGCAAAAAAAAAAAAAGCATAGGGAATATAGTCAGTGGTACTGTAATAGCATTGTATGGTGACAGATGGTAGATACGCTTGTGGTGAGTACAGTATAATGTATAGAGTTGTTAAAATACTATGTTGTACACCTGAAACTAATGTAATATTGTATGTCAACTATACTTCTATACACACACACACAAAAGAGGTCCCATGCAAATGTTTAATTAAGTCCAGTGCAGAAATAGGATATAAATTGGTTAAACCAAACCTTTAGTTCTGAAATAACAGAAGTTAACTGACGTATTACTCTTTACACCAATAATGCTTTATATAAAGCCAAGAAAAAAGTACAAATCCAACCACCATCAGACCAGGAAAGGTATTATATGTTTACAAGACCTTATTTCTATAACCAAGATGAACTGCATGAACAGAAGCTATGGCATAGCAGAGAATTAAACTTTAACTGCTTCAAAAGAACATTTTTTTAAAAAAATCTGTATACATTACAGTTAGTACAGCTTTTACATTTTCTTGACCCATTAACTCCTTATGTCCAAAAACTACATCAAAAACAGATTTTTAAGTTACAAGTGGATTTTTGTTAAAAACAGAAAAAAACCCTCAGAAAAACCAAATTATTTAAAACATTAGCATTTTAACCTGTGACTCAGAATATCTCTTAGGAATGAGAAAATTTCGAAGAATAAGATGAACAGAAAGATTTGCATATTTGAGCAGGGGCACTGGTTTTAGTGAAACTTCCTAAATGTCAAATAACATGAGACTAGTTCAATCATAAACTAGAACTGTGGCTTTTAATCTTCTTTGGATCACACAATATTTTGAGAACTTGCTAACAGCAACGAACTCTCATTCCAGAATTATAAACATAGGTATACTCCTCAATTTTTGTATACAATGATAGTAGATTTACAAATAATTGAAGCTTAAACCATGTTACCCAGGCTAGAAAAATGGAGTATCATGGAAACCTATTCATATTAAATTGTTAAATGAGGGTCACCCAGGTGCCTCAGTCAGTTAAGTATCTGCCTTCAGCTCAGGTCAAAATCCCAGGGTCCTGGGATCAAGCCCATGTCAGGCTCCCTGCTCAGCGGGAGGATCTGCTTTTCCCTCTCCCCTGCTCACTCACTATCTCTTTCTCTCAAATAAATAAAATCCTTTTTTTAAAAAAGATTGTATTTTTTTATTCATGAGAGACACAGAGGGGGAGAGGCAGAGACACAGGCAGAAGGAGAAGCAGGCTCCAAGCAGGGAGCCCGATATGGGACTCAATCCCGCGCCTCGGAAATCACGCCCTGAGCCAAAAACAGACACTCAACCACTGAGCTACTCAAGTGTCTCTCAAATAAATAAAATCTTAAAACAAAAAACAAAAAACTTGTTAAATGAAAAAAGCAGGGGATAAATCAGTAGATGCAAAGAAAAAAAATGTTTATATCTATGAAAAGGAAAAAGACAAGAGACCAAGTTATTGGAGTGGTTATCCTTGGATAGTAGAATTACAGGTACTTTATATTCCTCTGTAATTTTGTATACTCTGTATTTTCTATAATAAACTAGTTATATAATGAGAAAAGTTTAAGGTAGAATTTTGTACAAATTATCAACCAAATTTCAAAGTAGTCTTAGATTATGATCATTTTTTCAAGTTTTAAAGTATATAATAAATAACAAATCACTGATGATCACTGATAAAAGGATGACTGAGATCATTTTGTAAATCTGTTAAGAAGGAGAAAGGCCAGATTAAGTATTTCCTATTTCATACGGCACCACAAACTTAAAAGCAATCATAGGCAAAAACTAAAGTTCTCTTTTGTAAATACAAAACTATTTTTTGCTTCTGTACTTTGGGATACTTTGAAAGGCATCTACTTTTTTCCCCAATTACTTATTTATTTATTCATGAAAGACACAGAGGGAGAGGCAGAGACACAGGCAGAGGGAGAAGCAGGCTCCCTCTGGGGAGCCTGATGCAGGACTCCATCCCAGGACCCCCAGGACCACGACTGGAGCCAAAGGCAAACGCTTAAACACTGAGCCACACAGGTGTCCCTGAAACATATCTAAAATAAATTTTTAAAGAAACAAAGATTAGAACAAAAACTTACATTTTCTATTGTGCATTAACAGAGCTTGTTTCAGATCTATTGTTGCTCTTCCTAATAAAGCATCTGCTTTTAAAGTATAATGACTCCAAACTCGAAATTCCAACGTAGTCTGTGGGGTCACATTTCTGTAAGGGTAAAATTATAACAAAAATATAGATAGAGTAGACATTTACTTCAATAATTTTTAAAAAGCCATGAATTGAGTTTGAGAAAAAAATATTGTATGGAACAGTAAAGATGAATTATAAATAAAAACTATTATTTACTTTCAAGTACATTAGGACTTCAATAACTAGATAAGAATTTTTGTAATTACCAAACCAAACACCAGCAATAGATGAAGCATCTTGTTGAGATTTCACAGTAACACAAATACTTCTATTTGAACAAATTCCTAAATATTTAACACAACTGATGGTGTTATTTTTAATAATTTTATTACATACAAATTTGTAACATTATGTTTCAGATATGACAAAATTAACAGTGATTTTCTGCCCTATTAATTTTCATAAGACAATAACAGAAAATATGGCTGTATGGAATAGTTCAGTTAAAGCAAAAAGCAAGAATTATTATGCTTTTCCTCTAAAGAAAATGAGATTAACCAAAAATATTTTCTTATTTAAAATTGTCTAGTCACACTGGAAAATGATACTACTTAACTTTGAAATTATTCTACAACAATAGAACAAATATAAAAACATCCTAAGAAGCATACTCCCCCTTTTGAAAATTCTGCATTCTCTATACAAGGTACTTACACGGTTATCTGTTCATCCCATTTTGGATTGGAAGAACTACTGGATTTTGCTGTTTTCTTAATTTCTCCATCTACAACTACTTCTGTATATATTGCTGTTCCAAACCAGTTCTTTTTTCTTTTTAGTTTGGCACTAGAAACTAACAGAAACATGATAATCGTTAGTGAATATATATAGACAAAAAGTAGCACTTTGTAGTAATAAATCAATAAAAATGGAACTGTGCTTCTTAGGCACTCTAACTCTCTTTATTGGAAATGGAGAAATAATACAAAAGGACCATTGATAATGCCTGAGAACCACTTGAATTTTTAACAATTTAACTGAAAAACAATTTACATACCATATAATTTACCCATTTAATCTGTACAATTCAGTGGTTTTAATATATTCAGAGTTGTGCAACCATCACCATAAGCAACATTAAAAACATATTCATCACCCCAAAAAGAAACCCCACATAAACAGTCACCATATTTCCTCCTAGTGCCTCCCCTCCCTCAGCCCTAGGTGACTACTAATTACCCCCTGTCTGTAGATTTGCTTATTCTGGATGTTTCACAGAAATGGATTTATAAAACATATGGCCTTTTGTGACTGGCTCCTTTCAATTACCATGCTTTCAAGCTTCATCCATGTTATATTGTAGCATGTATCAGAGTACTTCATTCCTTTTACTGACAAGTAATATTCCACTATATGGGTATACTTTCTATTTACCGATTCATCAGTTGATAGAGAGATCTGGGTTGTTTCTATCTTTTGTCTATTGTGAATAATACTGCCACAAACATTTTTGCACAAAGTTTTTGTGTGTACATACATATGTTTTCATTTCTCTTGGCCTATAGTATAGCTAGGAGTGGAACTGTTGGGTCATATGAGAACTCTGTTGAATAATGCCAGACTGTTTTCCAAAGTGGCTGTACCATTTTACATTCCCACCAGCAGGGTAAAAGGGTTCCAATTTCTTCACATCTTTGCCAATCATTTCAATTTAATACCGAACTGCATCAAACGTCAAGAGAAAGGTAAGTATTTTCAGATTCAACATACCTATTAACCTCTCTGCCAGGTAGTGTTTCATACTTGCCTATTGAAAATTATATAAACTTTGGCAATTTTTAAAAAATGCTTTACCAAGAAAGTTGGTCTCCAATAAAAGGGGAAGTATTTGCTTTTTCAAGTATTTTCAAGTAAAAAATCTCAAAAAGTCATTTAAGAAGTTCATCATAACCCTTCACAGAAAATTAATTTTATATAAAATCTACCTGATTTGAATATAAGGGAAGGGAGAAGAAATGTGTGGGAAATATCAGAAAGGGACACAGAACATAAAGACTCCTAACTCTGGGAAACGAACTAGGGGTGGTGGAAGGGGAGGAGGGCAGGGGGTGGGGGTGAATGGGTGACGGGCACTAAGGGGGACACTTGACGGGATGAGCACTGGGTGGTATTCTGTATGTTGGTAAATTGAACACCAATAAAAATTAATTTATTAAAAAAAATAATAATAAATAAAATAAAATAAAATAAAATAAAATCTACCTGATTTGGAGGAAGATCTGTTTAATTTAGGCTACACAATTAATTTTAAATAATTTTTGCAACTACTAATTCAAATTAGGAATACAAATTTTCAGGGCAAAGTACTGACTACTAAGCAGTAATAATAACTTATCAAGATCACCCCATCCTGTATTACCTATGAATACTATGGGTCTGAGAAAGGGGAATGACCTGCCCCGTCCATGTCATACCTCTATCAGATGTTAAAGATATAAATGTAAGCTAATGTAGGCTTCTATTCTACTATGAAAGAATAGTAACATTAATAGCCACATGAAAAAAAAATCACTGAAATATGAAGTGATAAATGCTGCAGCAGAAGTATTTGAAATACAGTAAAGTCTTCAAGTAATTTTTTTTTTGAGAGGAAAAAAAGAGAGAGAGAGGGTAGGGGAGAGAGGGAGAAAAAAAAATCTTAAGTAGGCCCCAGGCCCAGCATGGAGCCTGACGCAGAACTTGATAGATCTCATGACCCTGAGATCTAGACCTGAGCTGTAATCAGAGTCAGATGTTTAACTGACTGAGCTACTCAGGCACCCTAGAGTCTTCAATTAGTATCTGAAGAATAGCAAAAGAGACTCAAAGGAAAATACTGTATTTAAGGATTGGCAACATAAAACAAAGAGTAAGTATTCAGGGGATCCCTGGGTGGCGCAGCGGTTTGGCTCCTGCCTTTGGCCCAGGGCGCGATCCTGGAGACCCAGGATCAAATCCCACATCGGGCTCCCGGTGCACGGAGCCTGCTTCTCCCTCTGCCTATGTCTCTGCCTCTCTCTCTCTCTCTGTGACTATCATAAATAAAAATAAAAAAAAAATTAAAAAAAAAAACAAACAAAGAGTATTCAGTGTTCTACCTCATGTGTTACAATCGAGGTTTTGGCAAAATTCACTCCCATCCTTCTCTGTTTCAAACTGCTCTAAGTTCAACACCACTGAAGTAACACAGAAGGCACAGACACCTCCTTCCCAAAAAATCCCCCAACCACGATTCCTCATTCCAAATTAAAGAGTCATTTCCTCAAAATATGCAGGTCTTTCAAAACACTAGAAGAAGGGGAAAGCAGTACTGCATGGTAGTTAAAATCACAGTGGTTAAAATCTTTTCAACAAATGGTGCCATACAACTGGACGCCCACATGCAAAAAAATTAATTTAAGCACAAACCCAAAGTCCTTCACAAGAAATAACTCAAAATTATCACAGACCTAAGTGTAAAACACAAAACTATAAAACTCAGAGAAGGTGAGAAAACCTAGATGACCTTGGTTATAGCAATGCTTTTAAAAACACAACACCAAAGCCACGATCCATGAAAGAAAACTGATAAATTGTATTTCATTAATGTTAAAAATTTCTGCACTACAAAAGACAATGTCAAGAGAATATGAAGACATATCATAGACTGGGAGAAAATATATGCAAAAGACATATGATAAAAAACTAGTACCCCAAATATACACAGAACTCTTAAGACTCAACAGTAAGAAAACCATCTGATTTTTTAAAAAGATTTTGAGAGAGCCAAATGAGAGAGAACATGAGCAAGGGGAGGGAGAAGGAGAACCAGATACCTCACTGAGCAGGCAGCCCAATGTGGGGCTTGATCCCAAGACTCTGGGACCATGACCCGAGCTGAAGGCAGATGCTCATCTGAGGGAGGCACTCAGGCACACTCCAAAAACCTGATTTTTAAAAAATGGTCCGAAGACCTTAATAGACACCTCACCAAAAAAATATTATGGAGAGCAAATAAGCATATGAAAAGCTGTTCAACATCATACGTTATCAGAAACAAACAAAACAACCATAAGATACCACTACATACCTATTAGAATGGCCAGATCCCTTCAAATGTACCTCGATTTAACAACTTTACTCCAGAGCTATGTAAATGCTTTCTTTACATGTAATAAACAAAACTAAACAAAAATAAGTGAAAGCAATAAACCTGATTATGCAGCTGACAGTAACCAAATGGGAAACTACTTTAAGTTACTTTGAAATGTAGTATTCTGACTATACATCCTAAGAGGGTGGGTGGGTGGGGGGGAGCTCTCAAAGAAATCTTAAACTGCAACGAGTGGGCCATTGTTTTTAGTAATTTATTTTATCTTTTTAAGATTTTATTTATTTATTCATGAGAGAGAGAGAGACAAAGACAGACAGAGAGAGAGAGAGAGAGAGAAAGGGAGGGAGAAGCAGGCTCCATGCAGGGAGCCTGATATGGGACTCGATCCCAGGACTCCAGGATCATGCTCTGAGCCGAAGGCAGGCGCTACACCACTGAGTCACCCAGGAATCCCGTTTTTAGTAATTTTAATGTTGCCAATCCCTGTGTGTGTTAGGATAAAACAGATACATTACTATCATTTGGGATTAAGATTTTTGGGTTAAAAGAAACAGAAATATAAAGACAAATAAAGTAAAAATATCTTCTTTCTACTTTCAGTGGAACAGGGTAAAAATCTTCTTTCTACTTTCAGTGGAACACAGTACTTAGAGATTACACATGAACTCAGGATTTATTTTTTGCTTTCTAAGACAATAAACATGTCCTAGCTCTGGTCACTGAAAACTCCGAGAAACAACTGACCTCACAGCAATAAGAACCACAGGAATTAGAGAGTATCTTTTCCTACTCTGGTTTTAATTCCGCCCCTCCTGAGGCAAATGTTACTTCTAATGTTCTAAGCACAGAGCTGCATACACATACCTTCCTTTTTCACATCCACATGGTTGTATACTATGCACACTACTCTACACCTTTCATTTAACAGTATTATCTTAAAACTTGGATCCTTTGGGTACATATATTTATTTTATTTCATTGTCTAACTAGGATTCCACTGCCTGTCTTTTGGAATTACAAACTCTCTCCCTTCCCCACCTCGCCCCTGCCCCTCCAATATATATTTTACCTCCAGGAATTTTTTATCTTACAGATATTTATATTGTTTATATATAATGAATGAATTATCTGAAGTCTCCTAACCAAGGCAAATGTTGTTTTCCTCTCCTTCTAATGCTTTCTGCTGCCAATATAATTTGAAATGAATTCTCAAACAAACCTGTCTCAACACTACATAGTAAATTTTTGGAGAATCAGGGCCTTATGTTTTCATACACATAATTCCACTTAAATTTTTGCTCAATGACTGGATGACTGAATAGATGAAAAAAGGCCTTCAGCATCCTTCTCCATCTTAATAACCATTTAAGAACCAATTCAAACATGCTTATTCTAATATCCAAATTCTCTCACCACCAGAGAGGATGTATCTTCTCTGCATCCAGCACAGGTTCAATAAATATTTACTGAATAAATAAAAGTACTTTTAGAAAATTTCTACCTTTAAGGCCTATTGCAACAAATACACCAAGTATGAATCCAGGAGAAAAGATACTTGAGGAATTTGATGAATTAGGTATTTTTAAAAAGTTTCGTCAGGGAATCACTATTTTAAGTTATTATGAAAATAACTTACCAGTTACCTGTAACTGTGACCTTCCACTGTGGTTATTACTAGTATCAGACCGTGGTGAAGCAGTGGCCATGTCCCAATATTCAGCTTAAGCCTATTAAAAAGTTAATTTATTCATGTGTTAGACAAGAGTGTAACTTTCAATATGATTAAAACTGAATCAATTTAGAAATCAAACCTAAATATTTTCAACTCATCAAATGACATATTCATAGTTGACTTCCATTTAAAATTAAAACTCAGCACTATAAGCATTACAGAAGAATATGGCCAATAAACCGTATCTGGGTCAATTTGAACAAAATAAATGATGACACTACGAATCCAGTGTTGATTTACAAACAAAACATACAATTTTTTTTATATGTTATACACTTCATTTATTTACTTGCTTACTTATCCGAACTATCCTAAGTAAACTGTCCCTTCATCTTTTAATACTCCGGTGTATATTTCATAATAAAAATACTCTCTTAAATAACAACAGAACAATGATCAAATTCAGGAATTTAATACATTACTATTATCTTTTATATAGTTTATATTATATAATTTTATCAACTGTTCCAAACAAGACATTTTATCATAATTTTTTCACCACAGTACCTAGGTCAGATTTATATATTGCATTAGTTATCATGTCCTCTGGAAATCTTACCGGTTTCTTTTTATACGTAATTTTTTTCATGTTCTGCTTCATTTTTCCACTTCAGCTTTTACTTTTTAAATAAAATACAAAGCCAAGCAACTTCGGCTTTTTTCTGCATGACAAATATTTTAAAGCTAAAACTTCTAACCATGCTTAACCTACTAAAGGATGAAGTGGAACATTCTGGTCAAGATTGAGAAATACTTTTGAATATAATGTTTATCTTGTTTTTCCCTCTTTGTAGTACTTTCTATGCTCCTTTTAGATCCTTCCCCAAATTCAGGAATCTAATACTCTAAAATCATTATACTTTCTTATTTGTTGTTGCATATATTATGTGTCTGTACATATGCAAAGATATGTATAAAAAGATAATATAAACAGTTACATACTATTTGGTTAACTAATTCTGGTTAGTATATATTTACAGATTCTGAGATTTCATTCAGGCCAATGCTGTCAATCTGCAGAGGAGAAAACGGACTCAAGAATTACATCACCTGTAGGTACATCAGCTGTTCATGTGCATGTGAGAAAACCAATGGGAAAAGAAGCTTTAGACAATCAATGGACAAGGAAGAAAATCAATAGAAATGGAAGGTTTTCAATTTCAAGCAGCTGGTATACTAAACATTTTAAAAGGTCCTCCTGCTTCAGTGTAAAAGATCCTGGGTAAACTAAAACCAGTGTAGTTTCCGAACATTACTATGTTCTCAAGAAGTATAAGAAACCATCAAACTTGCTCCCATCCCATCTAACAGTAGCAAAAAAAAAAAAAAAAAAAAAAAAAAAGAAGTTCTTTTTTTAACGGAATTGAAACAGAAGAGGACTGTGAGTATTAAGTAAAACCATTTTTTAAATTACAGTATTGCCCTGGGTGTGCATGTTGATAGTAGCACTGGGATCAAGAGATAAAACACTGGGCCTGCTGCAAGGTAATGGAGTGGAGACTCCCACATAAAGCAAGGGTCCAAGTCAGACATAATCTGTAACACAACAGAAGCATATACATATGCTTGCAGGAAAGCACCCTAATTTATGCCACTGGGATTATCTAAAATAAAGAGTAACCAATTATGAGCCTGAGGTTTAAAAAAAAAAATCAAACTTATAATAAAACAAGCCACTATGAGCAGGAACAAAAAATAATAATTTCTGATCCTACATGGATTTTACATACTATGATTATTAAGTATAAATTTTTAAAAATTTGGTTTTAGCAATAAATGATAAAACCTAGTCAAGCAAAAAGAAAAATGGCACTGAATATCTGAAAAAGAAACAGCATATAAAAAAAAAGAAACAGCATGTTTTAACTTTTAGAATAGTTTCAGATTTACAAAAAAGTTGTGAGGAGGGTTCTCATACACCCCAGCTTCCCCTATTAACATCTCACAGGAGTATGCCACATTTGTCATAATTAGTGAGCCAATATCAATATATTAAATTCCAGTCTTTTCAGATTAGATAGAACTTAAGATAGAATCAGCATATTTGAATATAAATCTGAAGAAGTCATTTATAAGTAGTACTGAAACAAACAGACAGAAAAAAAAAAAAGAGGCTAAAAGACATGAGGCTAACTGGACATAAATTTCTACTCAACATCCCCAGAAATGAAAAAAGATGAAGTCATACTAGGAGAGAAAATGACTTAATTTTACACAAACAATGAAAGACATTTATCCACAATTCTAAGAAATACATTGTGTTATGTGTGTGTAAATAAAAGAGGTGGGATAAACAAAGACATTCACACATGGCCACAGAGCAGTGAAATTGCAAGACACCAAAAAGGGACCATGATACAAAAAAAAAAAAAAAACAGCCAGAGAAGAGACTGCACACAAGAAAAGAGAATAATGTGACAGTAGACTTTTCAACAGAAACAATGAAGGCATAGAAGGTAGAGAACAAACTTATTTACAAAGAACTGAGACAAAAATTATTCAACCACCAAAACTCTCTTTGGGGAATATGGAAGGCATTAAGACATTGCCAAAAACACCAAAGGAGAGTTTATCAACAGGAGACCTTTACTTTAAGAAAACCTAAATAATGTGTTTCATAAATTAATAAAATTACCACGAAGAATGCTATAAGAGGCAAGAAGGGAAACATGAGTGAAGAAACTGGTAAGCATACAAATAAATCTAAAAAAATATTGTCTGAATAAAATAGCAACATCTCATTACGGTATTTAAACAAACCATTAATATATGGAACAAAGAAACAGAAGCATATAGGGAGTAGGGCAGGGGAGAAAAGGAAAGGAATTAATTATATAAATCCTTGCATCGTTCAGTAGTGGAATTATAATCTGGTTTTAGACTATATCGCATTCACAACAGAATTTCAAGAATAATAATAAAAGAATAGAAATGAAATTTCCAAGCTAGTAGAGTAGAAAAGAATTTTAAAAAACCAACAACTCAATCCAAAAAAAGTCTAGACAGGAAAAAAAAAGAGCATAAGTAACCAAAACTAACAGAAAGCACAAAGTAAGAGAGTCCAAACACAGAAAACAATTAGAATACAGAAATAATCATAACAAATGGATAAATTCAAAAGGTAAGAAACACCTACCAAGCAAAGATACTGACAGGATGAAAGCAAAATATGGAAAAGAACATACTAGACAAAAACTAAAAGAAAGCTGAAATTAGTTGTAATAGCAGACAAACAGCATTCTTAGGAGAACAAAGAGAATGCGCAGCACCGGTGGCGCAGCAGTTTGGTGCTGCCTGCAGCCTGGGGTGTGATCCTGGAGATCCGGGATAGAGTCCCATGTCGGGCTCTCTGCATGGAGCCTGCTCCTCTGTGTGTGTGTGTGTGTGTGTGTGTGTGTGTGTGTGTGTGTGTGTGAATAAATAAAATCTTAAAAAAAAAGGAGAAGAGAATTATTCAAGGTTCAAATAAGTAGACCTAAAACTATAAATCTGCATGCTTAAAAGAAAATGCTCCCCAACATAGTGGCCTCAGCAAAAAAGACAGGGAAGACTATTTTCCTAACAGACTTCCTGGATAAGGATGGCAGCAGAAACATCTCTGTCCCCCAACCAGTAAGCTGGAATGATCTGGAAAATGTCTCAACCACTTGGAACACTAATGATGGCAGCATGTATAAGGCACCTCCACCTGACCACTGCACCACAGGCTGCCTGGCAACCTACTATCAACGAAGCCCTCTTCTCAAAATGCTACTCTGTGTTGCTTCTCTAGGGAACATAACTTGTAATGTGACAGAAGTCTCATTAAGGAATTCTTCAGAGGATTAAATATCAGTGCAGTGCATTTACCATTTGAATCCAGCAAGCCAGAGGTTGAAAGGTTTTGACTGCGCAGAGTTTGAGAACCTGCCTTTCTTATTCAGTGCTCTAAGCCTCAATAAAGAGTCTCTGGTTAACAAAATTCCAATCTTGATCAAGCTCAATACAAAGACATGGATGCTCATTCTTTTGGCTGAGCATGAAATCAAGATTCTCAGAAAATATCCAACAGACAGCCTAGATGACTATCTACCTAGAAGAGGCGACGATAGCTCTGAAGGCAAACATCGTGATCATTATGGAGAACAGGACTGTTATGAAGACTAACATAGCAGAGACTATGATTGAGGCTATGACTCCAGGATAAACAGCAGCAAAGTGTATGTGGTAGAGGGTACAATATGGATGATGACTATAGAGGAAGTGGGACCACAAGGAAAACAAATATGATAAACATGATGTTCAGTTGAGGGGCTCCAAAGATGATTATTCTGGGGGTGATTACAGATGTGATGACAGAAGTCCCTCCCAAAGAACCAAACTGAATCTAAAGCTTCATTCAGAGTACTCTCAAGGAAGATGACCACTTGGCTGGCACTTCCCAGTCTAGTCAAGCAGCCTCGATGTTTGGAGCAGCAAGGCCTACTGACCCAGCTATAAAAGAACAAGAAGTAGAAAAGCAGCTACAGAAGAAGGAGAAATCAAAACATCAGCTAGATGAACCAGAACTAGAATGACGGCCTTAGGAGAGACACATACTGACAAAGTGAAAAAACTGAGGAACAAGAATGGTCAAGGACAGGAAGTTTATCACCTCAAACTGGGACCTCAGCTGTATCAGAAGTCAGAGCAGAGCACGAAGGAGAGAAAGTGAGAAGTCTGAAAAATGAAATAGTACAGCAGAAGACTGCCACTCTCCAACTTCTAATCCTCCCAAACCTGGTCAGCTGCTAAAGGTAATCCCTTCCACTAAGAGGCAATGCTTGGGTAAAGTGAAGTGCTAATTCTTATCCTTGATCTCAGAGTTCAAACAGAACAACAATCTCTTACAAGGATTGCGGGGGGGAGGGGTGCGGGGGGAGTAGCTCCAGCTCAACCATCTCAGGAAGGATCAACTTGGAAAGAAACAAACTAGATGGGGCAAATGTCCAAAAAGTAGAAGCGAGAAGGCCAGCATAACCCAAGATATGAAGGGAATAAACACTAATGGAAGGATTCTGAAAGGAAACATGGCGAAAAGGATCAAAATTCCAAATCTGGGGATGGCTGGGTGGCTCACTCAGTTAAGTGTCTGACTCTTAATCTTGGCTCAGTTCTTGCTCTCATGGTCATGAGTTTGTGCCCCGAGTTGGGCTCCACACTAGGCATGTGGAGCCTACTTAAAAAAAAAAAAAAAAAAAAAAATCCAAATCTGCACCTGAGCCAGACACCTGAAGAATTCAGCCTGTAAATTCAGTACTGTAAGTATGCTGCTCTTCCAACTGACGGGTAAGATTGAAATGAGAGGGAAGATTTTACAGAATAGACCTCACATCCTGCACTTTTTCCTATTTTCTTGTGACCCTGAAGCATTCCTGAGAAAACCAAGTATCTATCTAGACAAGACAAAATATCCAGACCAGTTCACCATCTGTTGGCAAGGGAAAAACGCCTCAAAGGATTTTTAGTATGGGAAGAAACTGACAAATTGTCATTGCTGTGTGTGGTTCCAAAACACTTCAATTTTTCATAGGTCAAATAGACCTGAAAATAAAAATAAAAACAAAACGATGAACAAGTGGGTCTTAAACATAAACAGAATCTTATACCCAACTATTAGAAAATAAACATTCTCCTCAAGCATAAATGAGACATACATTCGAAAACTAATACATATTAGGACATAATGAAAATATCACTAAATTTCAAAGAGTATGTATCATGTTGTTCCCAGGCACTGACTATATATAATTAACTTAAAAAAAAAAAAACAACAGTACTATGGGGTGCCTGGGTGGCTCATCTGGTCAAGCATCTGCCTATCCACTCAGGTCATGATCCCGGGGTCCTAAGATGGATCCTTGAATTGGGTTCCCTGCTCATCAGAGTCTGCTTCTCTGTTTCCCTCTGTCCCTTCCCCCTTCTTGTGCATGCACATGCATGCATATGTGCTCTCATAATTTTTTTTTAAAAGTCAGTAATAAGATAAATTTTAAAAACACATGTATAAAACAAAAACTTCTAAATATTTCATGAGTCAGAAGAAACCATGCTGAAAATTAAAAAAAAAAAATACTAAGAACTGAATGATAACAAATATACCATATAAAATTTTGTGGGATACAATAAAAGTTAACTTAGAGGCAAATCTACAGCCTTAAAGACTTATACTAGGAAAAAGAAGAAAGGCTGAAAATTAGATAACAGGTAAATTTGTTAAGATAGAAATAAACAGAGTAAATCCCCAAGAAGTACAGAATAATATAGAAAAGAAACTAATGAATTAGGAAAGAAGTAACAAAAGGATTAACACAAAGAGTGCCCATGTGGCTCAGTTCATTGAGCATCCAACTCTTGATTTCAGCTAGGGTCGTCATCTTGGGGTCATAGGATTGAATCCTGCACTGGGCTCCATGCTCAGTGCAGAGTCAGCTTGGGTTTCTCTCTCTCCCTCTCTCTTTGCCCTTTCCTCTGCTCTCTCTCTCTCTGTCTCTCTCTCTCACTCACACACACACACACACACACACACACACACACACACACACACTGGTGCTCTCTCTCTAAAATAAAATCTTTAAAAAAGAGAAGTGATTAGTAAAGTTAGAATTCTTAGAAAAGACTAAAACAAATAAATGCCTAGCAAAACTAATGAAGGGTAAATAAAAAACAAAACAGAGCCCCAAAGGAGACCAAAGACATCCTGTGTAACAGATGTAACAAAGCAGACCTGAGGGAAAAAAGGACAACCAAATAGTACTGAAATTGTCTATGTGGAAAAATTCAATTGGATCCTCACATCATATACAAAATCACTTCAAGATGGACTAGTGATGTACATATGAAAGGCAAACTTTAAAATTTTTAAGAAATTAAGAGCAGAAAACTACTGTTTTATACCATCCCAGAAAAGAAGGATATCTTAAGCATATCAACCAAAAAGGAAAAGTGTGAATATTTTGACTAGGTGGAAACCAAAGACTTCTGTTTATCATAAAACATAAGAAAGCAAACTAAAAAGATAAGCTACAAACTGGAATATATTTACAAAACATAAAACTGATTAAAGATTAGTATTTAAACTATATGAGAAGGGTGTCTGGGTGGCTCATTCGGTTAAGAGTCTGCCTTTGGCTCAGGTCATGATCCCAGAGTTCGGGGATCTAGCTCTGAGGTATGCTCCCTGCTGAGCAAGCAGTTTGGTTCTCCTTCTCAACCTCTGCTCCTCCTCCTGCTTGTGCTTTCTCTCTCTTGCTCACTCTCAAATAAATAAAATCTTTAAAAATAAGATAAACTATATGAGAACCTCTACAAAAAACAGGATAAAAACAACTTAAGTAGTCAAATGGGCAAAAAAACCTGAACAGGACTTTTATACTATAAGGAAACTTGTAAGGCCAATTCATATATAAAAAGATGCAGAATCTCATTATTCATCAGTGAAATACAAGACCACATGAGATGTTATTTTTAAACTCACTAGAAAAATAAACTCACTAGAATGATAAAAACTAGAAACATTAACAGTACAAAATAATGGCCAAACCCCCCCCCCCCCACAACCACCACCACCATCACAACAAACCTAGACGTAAAGATGGTGGCTCTTACACACTGCAACTAGGTGTTTAAATTTGTTAAATCCTTCTGGTAGGTGTTAAAACTAGTATAATTGCTGGAAAATAATCTGATGTCACATGATATTGAAGATTTGCATGTCCTTCAAGGAGCAATTCTAGGTACATACTACAGGCATTTTTTACTTGTATGCCAAATGTAAGCATACTTAAAAATAACAACAAAAGGAAAAAATACTCAAATGTCCACTGGTAGAAAAATGGTTAATGAATTAGGCTAACTCATACAATGGAACATTATACAGCAGTAAGAATGAATGAACTACAGCTATAGGCAACAACAGGAAAGAACTATATAGCTGTAAGCAACAACATGAATGGGTCTTAGAAATATAATAGTGAATGAAAAAAATACAAATGGAGTTCTGAGTATTAATATTTTCCTCCCGTTCAGTCCCACCTCTAGGATTTAACATTCTACACTGAGATCATCAAGAAATGTTTCCAACTCTCAAACACAAAGAAGAAAGAAATGAATTCTTATGGCGGTTATCGTGACTTCATCTTTTCCTATGCATTTCCTTTGAAAACACAATTCCATGATTGAGAAAGAGATTCAGAAACATAGAGACATTGTGAATCCTGAGTCTCAAATGCTTATACAATCAACAAACTGAATGAAACCCATTGAAGAAATGCTGAGGTCCAAAGGGCAATCAAATGACAAAGTGTCACTCTTCCAAGGAGTACACTCTGAATATAATGGAAACATTTCTGCACAAACTAAGGAAATTAGTGTATGGAATTATTTCTGCTATATTTCTAAACTCCAGATAAAGCATTTTATTTTGTATGTGACACAGCAACATAGTCCAAAAGTAATTCACCACCACTGTTCTGTTGTAAATTCAAATGTGCACACTGAAATTTTTCTATGTATTCTTTTAAGATACTTGAAGGTTTTCTTTGGAATGTATAAAGATTTGTAAAATAGGTTTTTCTCTATAATAAAATATAGTCTGTGCCAAGTTTACAAAATCTATAAACAGAACAATTATTAAATTCAAAACAAAAAAATACATTTGTGGTAATACCATTTTAAAAAGAGGTTAAAAAAATTCAGAAAAGCAATTACTTCAGGTGTTGGGGAAAGACAGGAACATACAGTTACAGAGGTGCTCACAGGCAGCTTCTTCAACTGTGTTGGTACTGACCTAGTTCGTAATTGGTTGGTGCCCAAATGTTTGTTTTTATTATTAACTTCCATATGTTACACATTACTGGCAGGTTCAAATTATAGAATTTTTAAAAATTTCAAGAACGCATGGAAGGCAAGGAAGTAGATAAAGTGTAGATCACTAATTCATCAAGTGTGATGGTAAGAGAGTATGCCTACAGCCTGCAAAAGAAAAGAAGGAAAGGACATAGCTTTCACACAGATGATGTGATTAGTCTTCAAAGAAAAAGATACTCTTTCTCTAAACAATGGATGAAGGATCTAAGGAAAGGTAAGAGGGCAGCCCTGGTGGCTCAGTGGTTTAGTGCCGCCTTTGCCCCTGGGATGTGATCCTGGAGACCCGGGACTGAGTCCCACATCGGGCTCCCTGCATGGAGCCTGCTTCTCCCTCTGCCTGTATCTCTGCCTCCCTCTCTCTCTCTCTCTCTCTCTCTCTCTCTCATGAATAAATAAAATCTTTTTTTTTTTAAAAGGAAAGGTAAAGATACTAAGTCATTTGGAGGTATATTAAAAGGAAATTGAGGAGCTTTATTAGTCAGTTAGAAAGGTGAGAATAAAGAAGATAAACAGGCATATGATTATTTTAAGTAGATACTAATAATGATTAGTATCTGCAAATTTAAACAGCAAAATATGGCAGGGATGGTTCAAAAATGGTACCATTTTGTTTTCAAAGGAAAGAAACAAAGGCAATAAAATAATCAAATCCAACATACAATTAGTTCCCACACTTCATTTAATAACATAAAGTTGCAGGACACTTAAAATACAATGTACTACTATATATATATTCTTTAATCTGGCATTATAATAACGATGTATGAGTAGGGAGGTATTCTCATCTGACAGATGAGGAGATTATGCCTCAAAAGTGTTCAAAGTTTACAGTCATATTTTTTATGACAATGTAGTCTAGAGAGGTATAATTAACTACAAATATATGGAGTTTGAGTGTTAAATATAGTCTTAGTTGAAAAAGAAGTTGCTCATCACTTACTATGTACCAGGAACTGTGCTAGACACTGGGGATATAAAGATGAGTAAGACACGATTCCTTCTTTCAAGGAGCTCATAGTCTAGTGAGGAGACAAACCTGTAAACAAATAAACAGCTTTCAGCGTTACAGTTACTAAAACAGATGTAAAATGTAAAGCAGTACATCTGAGGCACACAAGAAAAAGTGGATAATCCAAACTACAGGAATCAGGAAAGGGTTCACAGAGGATAATCAACCTTTGAATGAACAGTGTCTTCAACTATAATTCTTTGAGAAAACTACAGAAAACATAGAACATTCAGAGAACTATTGGAATGGCTGGAAAATGGAAGGTAAGGATAGTGTCAAGTGATGAGGGTGACAGAGTAATCTAAATTGTAGAGGATCCTATGGAATTGTTTATATGGTATTCGAAATATACCGAGAGTAGTAGTTTAAAGTTTATCATAAAGGTAACTGACAGACACCAATGGGTTTCAATACTGAGAATCACATTTGAGAAGAATAACTGGCAACAGTGGGGTTAGATTTAAAATTCTGAATTTATCTAAACCAGAGCAGGTAGTGTGAGGGAAAAAAAAAACTCAGGATATAGAAAAGATCTTTGACCAGATGGTTTGGGGACAAGCTGAGGGTTAGAAAGGAGGAGGATTCTGAACTAAAATTTCCTACTTCACTATCTGAGTGGATGAAGGTGCTATAACCAGGACAGTGAACAGCAGAGGAAGAACAAACTGTGGGAGACAATACAGTACAAAGTTTAAGAGCCAACTCTGCAGCCATACTACTTTGATTTAATCACCTATTCTTCCACTTAACAGCTGTGTGACGAACTATGGCAAAAGGAAAAAACAAAGTCTAAGTTTTAACAAACTTTTGAGCAAATTATTCATTCAAATGAATATGTCAAAAATTATGCCCAGAGAATATGGCCAGTTATATGTAAGCTGATTATGTCCAGCTCAACCCTTCAAAAATGCCACAGAATTGTATAAGAGTTTATTATTATTCAACTGCAAAGAACACTCCTGAATGTAGAAAATAAACTATGCTTCCAGTCCTGCAAGGTTATAGGCCTACTGAACCCTCACTTAGAAGATGTATCTTAATTGCCTGCTTACTTCAAGATGGCTTGCTTAACTAAAGAAGACTTTTACTTTCAGAAGCAAAATTTAAGAAAAAAGAATAAGTCTGATCCATTTTGCATGCTATGTGTAAAGAATCAAGGCTTGAAAACCCCAGAAAGCTACTGTCACATACCTATCTGCCTGGATCAATTAATAAACACACTTAACTGGCTGCCTTGTCTGTAAAGTGGGCATGGCAAGGACCCAAAAATGGTAGAAGACAAAGTCTCAACTTCAATACTTAGTCTAGTTTTAAAGGCGGTATTAAACACTTCAGTAACAAGATAGGATGGTACATAGGTGCTAGAGATATTTCATCTAATGAATGTAGAACCTGAAGGTTGGAAAGCCTGCATTTAAGCAAAGTTATTACATCAATTGTCCAAAATTTAAAACTCAATGAAAGTGGCCAATTTATGGATGAAAAAAGCAGCTTTCCTGCCCCTAAAGTAGCCAAGATTTAACAACTCTAAAACAGAAAATAAGTGTTTCATAAAAGCACAGACTACAGAATAGGGGATTTAATTTTAATAATACAGGAATATTACTTTTACAATATCTTTACAAAAGATATTGTTGATAATTTCAATTCATTTATAAATTGAAGTAACAGTAAACAAGAGGGTGACTCATACTGATTTGCCAGGACCATACAGGTTTTAATTCTGCTCGATGGGAAACCTCTTGCTTCAGGGCACACCAGGGTAAACTTAGTAAACAGTATGAGGGCTCTAATTGTGTAGACACTTTTCTGAAGTACCTCAAAGAGATTTTTCTTGTGGAATCCTGTTATAATAAAGCATAATCTGGTTAAATTTTATATTTCTGTATAACCTAAATATTCAGAAAGGAAAAATCAACTTTACAGGGAGTACAACTCATCAGTGGACTTCAATATCACACCACTTGGACTATGTGTTGGGACAAAGGAAGAGGAAGGAGCAAGAGGCTTTCTCAATACCTAGTGTCTTTTAGCCCTCAGAACTGCTTGCTTTTACCCAACTCCAAATAATCAGCACTGTGGTCTCCCAAGGATCCAAAGGCATTTCCAACTTCTTGAATAACTTGTTAATACTCAGGTCCACACCACTATCCTCAGTCCAGTCTCCGCATCAATGTCAACAACTCCCCGGCCTTGTATCCTGCTGGCCAATCTCATTCCACTGACCAGCAAGGCTGACTCCCTGCTCCACCAGCGCATGCTCCCTTTATAATCTGTCCACTTAATTCAGTGTCTCCAGTCCCTCCAGCTTCTCTTTGTCCTATCAGCACCTAGTAGCAATATCATCACTACTGTTTTCATAGTACTTCCCAGTTTCAAAATTTCACATACCTTTCTGTTTGGGATAGAAGCTAGCAAATTTCTTAAAAAAGTTCACTTGCCCACACTGACCTGTCTGTGTAAGTATCACTGATTCTCTTAAATGCAAAACAAGTGCCACCATGATTACACACACACACACACACACACACACACACACAACCACTTTTAATCTCTGCCATTCTGTGACTTATAAAGCACTTGCAGTATCTACCAGACAAAGGGCAAATGAAGATGGGCATCTACAGGTACTTTGTCACTTCTGACTATAGTTTGGGCATTTATATTAATCTAAAAATACCTATTTAATCACAGGCTCTAATGAACTCACCTTTCCTCTACTCTTCTATGCTTTGAATCAAATTTTTTTAAATATTTTATTTATTTATTCATGAGAGACAGAGAGAGAGAGAGAGAGAGAGAGGGAGAGAGAGAGAGAGAGAGAGGCACAGATACAGGCAGAGGGAGAAGCAGGCTCCATGCAGGGGGCCCGACATGGGACTTGATCCTGGGTCTCCAGGATCATGCCCTGGGCCGAAGGCAGGCGCTAAACCACTGAGCCACCCAGGGATCCCCACTTTCAGTCAATTTTAAAGTTTGTCTTAGTGAACTATTATTATGACATGTCACAGGAGGAGCACAGAAAGGGTTTTTTTTTTTAAATGAGAAAAAATGTATTTATCTTCAAAATGCCAAATTTCCTAAATCACTACTTCCAACTCTTATTATTTATCTCCATCCAATTTCAGATTTTCAACCAGAGGAGGAAAATACATTAATTTTCTCCAAACCTTATGGGTCTGTTTTTACACATCCTCCAATTTTTACCTCTGCTTTTCCAGCAACACAAATCTAGGCCTCTTTTGACTTTTTTCTTCCAAATATGTCTCACATCTCCCCTTTCATAAATTCTTTCTATTTTTTAATCTCACTTTCCTGTGTCCAGTGAGTTAATATTCAACTGTAGCTTTCATTTTTAACTGTTATTCCTCTCAAACAATTATACAGAAAACCTGCTTTGCCATAAACTGATTTGAAAATTTTCCTCTCATTAATGTTACCTGCTGCCACCTCAAGCTAGGAATCAAAAATAAATTAAAAAATCTTACATGTGAACTCCTTGCTCTCAAAATTATTCTATGACCAATCTAAACACTGGTTATATAGTTCATATAAACTTCCTTCTCTTCCTCAAATCAATAAACATTCATTCACACTGTCAGTGTATATCCTTACTGAGGTAGCCAAAAGCCTTGCTGAATTTAACCTATACTTCCTCAAATTACCATGGCACACACCCTAATGAACTGCTGCCCATTAATTTCCAGAATTTACTTTCTCATTGCTCTTCACATAAAATTCATTCTATTTACAGAAAGCTATGTCCAATAGCTAGTCAAGCTATTTAACTCCATTCTCTTTCTTATTCTAGTTAGTTCTAATCAAGTTACTTCTAGAGTCTGGTTACTTCAAATTTCATCTACTTCCTTGCCTTCAAATCAGTCTTGCGTCACACTTAGCAAGATTCCAGTCACAGCACAATCATGATCACAGTAACTTAACTTGTTTTTCTTATTAAGGTGCTTGCCGTCCATTGATGAGAAAGTTACAAAATAGTTACCTATCCAAAGCAAAACTAACCACCTATCCTTTCAAACAAAATGTGTTTCATATAAACTTCCAACCAGCAAAACGTATAGGGTCTTCTGGTCTAAACAGAATGCAAGTTTCCTCCAAAAAAAGTAATAAATAATTAATAACAGGACTTGGCAGGGTCTAGAGGCTCAACTAGCAATAATGATGACATACTGAAGTAAAGTCCAGTTCAGAGGATCAAAGAGACAAGATATTTATATTCTGAACTGACAGAGTGCCAGGTTTTGCTCTTAGACAAGTCAGAGGTTAACAATTTAAAAAAATTACACTTACTGCAAACTTAATGTAAGACTCTAAACATCCAGTAACGTTTGAAGTTACAAGAAACAGAAGTCAAGCTCTGTCAACAACTAAACTGTCATTTATAGAAGCCTTTCAGTCTGTTTGGTGGTCCAATTATTTCTAATGAGGAGGGGGAAGTAAACTACTGAAAATAAGAAAATATCATTTGCCAAAGTCTAGTTTGAATTTGGATTTGAATTTCTACTCTCACATTTACGAAGAAGCAGTGTAAGAGTGGTTAAGAGTGTAAATTCTGCAGCCAGACTGCCTAGATCCTGGCTCATTTGACTAGTATGTTCAACTTTTGGCAAGCTCCTTTACCTCACAGTGCCTGAGTTTGTAAATCTATAAAATGAAAAGGCACCTACTTTATGAGTTAATGAGTTAATACTGACGAAGTGCTAACAAAAGTACCTAGCACACAATAAACTACATATTAAGCATTTCTTTTAACAATTTTTCTGAATTCTTTCAGCATATACACACACACACATACACTAGACATGTTTTCAGGTAATGTGTTAAACAGAAGGAACACAAAAATCACCTGAGATATCCTCTTCATCCTCAGCAAGTTTATAATATAGCAGTGGAAACAGACAAGGAAATCAGTAGCTTTAAGCTCATTGACAGGGTTGTGCAGAGTACTAAAGAAGTACAAAAGAGGAGCACCTAAATTAGATTTGGTGGGAAGAGGTGAAGAAATGTCA